TCCACAACTCAGATATTCTTCTGACCATATTTGAGAAACAAAACCTGTAACATCCCTTTGACAGCTACAGGAGGAGGATGGAGAGTGATAAACAGCCTCCAGATTCTCACAGTGCCTGACTTGGGTACCAAGAAGCCCCAGGGGGAGGAAAATCAAGGAACTCACATGGTCAGTGAACCAGAGTGATGAAGCAGATATGTGGAATCCTTGGCTTATTACCTAAGTTAGCTGTAATTAATGAACTAAAACTAATTGGCATCCTCGCAAATTAGCAATTATTAATTAAAGGATAAGATAGCAAGGTTGTGGAGGTGCACCTTTTTGGATAATAGAAGCCTGTTCAGTATCTAGGAACACTGAGCACTGCTAAATTGAGGATATGGAAAAGAAAGGTGTGGCTATAAAGGATAAAAGTTGTTTCATCTGAAAATAACTTCCAAAAGCTACTCAGAAAAAGTGCAGCTTCTGAGAATGTGGACAGGATGACCAAAGCAACAAGTCAGGCATCCTTTGGAGATGTTTTACTCCTTAAATAATGATAAGGATGGGTTAATATGGGAGATACCTCTATTGTGAACTCCTAAAATCTCACGCCTGTTATAGCAAGAGCTGGAGCCAACTTCCAGAGCAGCCAATGATCTCTTCATCTGTAAAGCTACACGGAGCTACTGCAGCACCTTTATATTAAAATATACACAGGAATATCTGTTATTTCCCCCAGGCATCATCCTTCATTCTGGGCATATTTTGTCTCACTTGGAGGATGGTAAATTTTGCTTCCTTTCTGTGTTCTTTGCTCTCAGTGATCCTTACAGGGATCCCATACATTTTGGGACTGCCTGAAAACACTGGAGACTGTTGGGAGCCTTGCTGGCCTGGGTGTGTGCCAGAAAATATATTGCTGAATCCTGAAATCACAGCATCTAAGATGATTGCTGCAACCCCCTCATCCCTTTGTTTTGCCTGAAACTCTCCAGTGCCCTGGAGGTATCTACTGTGTTTAAGTGGCTGGGAAAGTAAAAAATAATAGCAACTCATAGATCAATTATAATGTAGCATGAGAAACTCAGCCACATGTTATAAAAATTAAAATAAACCAATTGGATTTGTCTGCCTGAACTCTGAGCATTCACTGTGAGTGGGGGACAGCAGGACTCGGGCAAATCCTACTTCCCAATTTAACCTGAAGGTATTAATCCTTCAACAGGCAGTTTTCTTCTGTGGAAAATGTTCAGCTGTTCAATGGAAAAATCACTTGGTACCAATTACTTGGTACTTCTTGTCTTTTTTCAACAAACAAGTGCCTATTTCTGTTAATTTAATGGCAACACCTTGCTCCAAGAGCTAGCTGGCTCTTAGGGGGAGAGCTTTTCTGATTGTGTTTTGTGGACATGAAGTACACAAATAATCTAGGTTATTTCAGCCACTGATACCCAATCTGACAAGAACACACTGTGCTTTGATTAGTTCTGTGCTGCTCTGTTATACATGAGATTACCTTCAGTTAATTATCTGTTGCACTGACTAATCACAATTACAACACATGGAATAATTGTAAGTACTGGAGAGTTGTGGTAGTTTTTTGGGTTGTTTTGGTTTTTTTTTAGCGTACAGTGTAAAGAACAAATAGCTTATACTGAAGAAGCAACTATTTCCTTAAACTCAGACCTTCTCTTTGTAAGAAAATGCTGAAGAACTGGGCATGGAGACCTTTATGCACTCACTGTCTGGCTGGAGTAATCATAGTGAACCTCCCAAAAGAGTGTAATTCCTCAGAAATCACAGATTTGGATGTTGCCAATCAGATACCAGTTCAAAGTAGTATCTTGGAAAGGCTGATTTAGAAATGTCTTTGCTTATTCTCCACTTTGTAGAGAAGAAAGGCATAAAGGAGTCACAGAACACCTTAGCTATAAATATATCTTAAACTTATATTAGCATACTTCAGGAGAATTTTATTCTTCTAAAGAAATGCTGCATACTGAGTTAAAGGTCAGGAATTTAAATTTTCTCATGAAATTCAAAACTTAAAAAATGAATTAATTGAAAACCTGTGGATGCCTCAGAGAAATTTAAAAAAAATTACTATATGGCTTAGCCAGTACTTAGGGCAGGGACTGGGTCATAACCAGGAGGAACACAGTGTAAGGAACTGTAGTGCAGGATCCCCCCAGTTCTGCCTCTGCTCTACTTCAGCTGATCCTCATCTCCACTGAGGGGACACAAAGTGCCCTGTGTATATTCAGGTCATCAAGCTTTTCATGATTATTGTTGGAAAGACTTTGGGTTGCTTTTAAGGTGTATCTGCTTTGGGTTTGAATTTATGGATCAGAAACCAAAACCAGGCATATTTGGATTATTAATGTATTTCTATCTCTGACTGGCAAATCTGCACATTACCTTATACAAAAACTTCTCTTGGACATTTGGGTTAAAAGTCTTTGAAACACTTGAAAATGTTGTTGCATTGGCAGATGTTTCTGGTCCACTGAGAATGAAGTAGCCATGAGTACATTTTCTAAGCTATGAAGCATAATATACTTCATTAGAAAGATCACAAGCAGTATCTAAAATATCAATTTCCTCCTTTGCTTAAGGCTGTGATTCATGGCTCTTATCACTTGTAATTATAATTATATTCTCCACTCCTCCCTGTTTGCTGGAATTTACTGTCTCTTAGGAAAGGCAGCAGATTGGTAATGGGCCCCTTCCTCGATCACTGTATTTCACATAGTGATGGATTAAGGTAAAATTGAAAGTTGACAATTCTGGCTGGTCCATTAATTTGCCAATTGCAGCAATTAAGAATAAAACTCATACCCTTCTTTCTCTCTGGCTATTCAGGCAGAGCCTCTGACTCAGGGCAACCTGTGACTCAGTCCCACAGAGCTTTTGGTTTAGAAAATTAGAGTAAAAAAGCCCAGTATCATATTTTGATAGAGTGAACTTTTGAACAAGGAACTACTTTAAGTAATGAGAATAACATATTACAGTGTTTTATGTCTCATTAGCATAATGTAGGGTGACATTTGCAAAAGCTGCAAGAAGCTTTTTTATCTGAAATTATTTGTCATTAAACAGGGCTCTAACATTTGTCTAAAACACACAAAATTCATCTTTTCATTTCAGTCTCAGTTGGAGCAGGAAGTTGAAAAACAGGATTTTACCAGACAGTCTTCACAGAGGGTTTGCCACTATTAAAAATAAAGGAACTTTCCCCCACTCCTGCCTCTAAATACCAGTTCTTACTTTATAGAAAACATGAATGTGTAAAAAAAATACAACCATGGAGCTATTATTTATGTCAGAAATTCCCTACATTAGCCATTTCACTGTCATTATTTTAAAGCAGATGTCAGTATAGAATTATGAATACTCTTAAATTATAAAATGGAACTTGCTCCTAATCCTAAAGACAACAAAAAGCTTTTTAAATGATGGTTTGAGAAGGGAGGCCAAAATGAAGTCCTAAAGTCTTTTAAGACAAATATGGATATTCTTGGTCTCTCCCAGTGTCCTGGCATAGGAGTAAAATGGTGAAATTAAAGAACATTTTCTGCATGGAGGCAGACCAGGATCTGCTGGAGAAAAACCATCCCCTGGGCTCTGAACACAGAAGTATTGCTTGTGATTTTCTCTCTCTCTCAGGATGATTTTATGATCAACCTGACAGGTTCAGGCTGTGAAAGACAAGGTGCACTGTTACAAATGTACTACAAGTGCAGAGGATTGAATAAATGATTTGCATCAACTGTACTGATGTTGCACCAAAAATTATTGCAGAGATTAGGAAAATAATGTTTCTGAACCTTTCAGCCCACCATGTGTGTGGGAAAATGGAACATTTGCAGCTTTCCCATTAGCAGCCTAATGATGTTTTTATGAAAGCAAATGAAAGAAGCAGAGCTATGTGAAGGTAGTGGTTCCAGACTCATTATTCAGGCTTTGTTCTGTAACCTTTCAGTAACCTTTCTAGATTGACTCTGGCTTCCTCTTCCCTGGCCTTTTGCTCGTATTTTTTTTTTCCCCTTCACTCCTCCCCTCCTCCTTCTTGCTTTTGAACATGAGATTCTCTTCAGATTTTTAGTGTCCGTGGATTTGTGGCTTGCTTAGCCCATCTCTCAAGTCCTCAGGAACTTTTATGAGTCTCCAGAAGTTTCATGGGGAGTACAGCTGCTGTTGATTGAGATTCTTTAACAGTTTGGAGGAGAGTAATTTAATAAATCAAACTATAAAACTATTTCTGGGGATGTTAGCAGGCAGTAGAGAATCATGTCCTTTTCTGATGATAATAACATTGACTATAACCCATTAAAGAGCAAATCATGCAAGGAAATAAAGAGAGGTACCTCCTACTATTTCTTGGTGTGCTGCAGCACAGAATAGGATCTCTCACAGAAAGGTGGAACAATACAAGGAGGATTATCTGGGAGTTTCTCACATTTATAACTCCAGTGTTCCAGACATGATGTAGTAAATGAATCGTGCTGATGGTTTTGTCAGTTTCTCAATGATAAAATCAGTGGCAAATCAGGCTCAGAACCATGAACTGCATATCAACTGAAGAATGTTAGTGCTCTGGTGAAATCAGCAGGGCACTTCTATCACTTCAGAGCAGCCAAGGCATTGAATGTAACAGATTTTGTGCATTGGGTGAGGAAACCAACACAACACAGGAATGAGGAGTAAAACAAATAATAACCTGGGCATGTATTTACATAATCTCTTAGGTATTCCAAATTTTATTTTGATAGTGTAGCTGCCAATTAATCCTTCCAGTAGAGCTGACTGTGTGCTTATTTATAACTTGGTGAAAGCCCGAGTTAATGGAGCAGAAGTTATGATATGGTACAGGGAGAACTTACATGAGCATAAGGTTTGATTTTCCTGCCACTATTTATTGCTTTCCATCAATAGATCTCTTCACTAAAATAGAAAAGAGATGGAACATAATTTTAATTGGTTCCTAAAATACACAATACATGTGATTCTCACAACAGGAGAACTGTGCCATATGGACTGTCTAACTACAGAGGCAGCTTTAGAGGCAAAAGGTCTACAGGCCAGACTCAAAGTACTTCCCAGTCCTCATTCCGATGTTCCTGTTCGGATGCTCATGACAAGCAGTGTTTGCAGTTCTGCAGAAGAATGCAGGACAGAAGAAGGTGAGTGTCTTTCCCTATCACGGCAACCTGGCCACGTGATGAAGCCATTTCATGCAGATAAATTAATCAAGATGCATTTATTGAGAGGAACTGATTAAAAGATATTGATTTGAAATAAAACTCCCCTCTGCAGTTGTGGTGGGTTAACCCTGGCCAGCAGCCAAGCACTTACACTGATGCTTGTTCACTTCCCCTTCAGTGGGATGGGGGAGTGAACAGGAAGAAAAAAGCAAGAAAACTCCTGTGTCACATCAGAGTTTAATAAGTGAAGAAAAGAAGCCAGAGCCAGCCAATACTGCTTGGAATTTTCTTTTTTCTATTTCTTTTTATGATGTGGTGCTTTTGAAGCAGCAGATCTGTCCAGCTAGGGGCATGCTGAACATTGCACTGTTCTAGAATGTTTCATGCAGTCTAGCAAAGAGAATGAAATTGCCATTTCATCTATGGGGACATTAATGAGAACACAGTGACAGGTTTAGGCAATCTCTATTCTACAGAAATCATGGATCGATGAAAAAGACAGAGGAGAGAGACCAATGCAGGGAAGAGGAAGACAATTTCATTCAGTAGCACAGAGAGTTTGGAGGATTCTGAACAATCAGGTATGTACAGACACTCAATGTTAAAAAGAAATATTTCCATAAATGTTCTTTTTACTTGCAGAACCCTTAGTTCTTTCAACTGAATATTATCACTCCTTCCTAAACAAGGTCAGGATTTGGCCATGAGTTGTTTAGGGATTTTTTTTTCTAATTTAATTTTTAAAATAAATTTTATTATACACAGAACTGCTACAACCTTTCTTGTGCTGATGTAACTCCTTCAGAAGTTGAATTATTTGGCTATAAGCCAATACATATGTTGGCTCTTTTTTTTAGTACAAGGGCTGTTCCTGTCTGTCATGTTTTCCCTCGTTCACCTCTGCAGCAAATTAAGCTACAGGTCCCAGTTTAGTGCTTCAGTAAAAGCTGAAGTGTTAAGGTAAAGAAGCAGGAAAAGCTTTGTGGGAGAAATAAGAAGGGAAAAGGTGAAATCTGCTTTTGATGTCAGGTATAGGGAGGTTACTGCAACCCAGTAGCCAGTTTCAGATATTGCCACTTCTAAAAATGTCACACCAGTACCCCAATTTTTTTGCTATGAAGGGCAGCACTTGGATTAGAAGTCCCCAAGCTGAATTTATTGCTGTAATTATTCAAGCAGAGCTAATCAGAGAACTGCGTAGAGCTCGCTCTGTGTACACATAGCCAAGGAGGGCAACCACAGTTGTCTCAGGTAACAGGGACTTAGTGTTCAATAATCAACAGTTTGGGTGTATTTATTTGTTGGTTTGTTTTCTTTAAAGCTTTACCATTTATTTGCTGGAGCTCAGAACAAGAACCTAAACTACAACTCTCCCTTGAGATGGACAAACTTGATGCTTCAGTGTGATGCCAGTGGAGAATTCAGCAGTAGGCAACACTTCAATTTCAGCAGGGCCACTCTGAGGGCATGGGAACCTGTATGAAGAAGCTTTTCTCCCCTCGAGAGAGCCTCAGAAAAGGATAACCTTTATCATGTAACCTGGCAGGGAATGTATCACTATTGTGGAAGACTTCAAAGGCAGACCCAAACTTCAGCAATGCAAAGCTTCAGGAAACAATTTTCTCTGTGATTTAAACAAGTACAATAGAAACTGTTCCACTCACTGCTTGCTCTGTGTCTGAGGAATCCATCCACAGCTCTGTGCAGGCAGCTGCAAGTGGAGAATGTGGAGAATTAGAGGAAGATTGCCTCTACATGAGTTCTCATTAAGAATAAACAGATACAAAATATTCCTCTTGTTAATGTATGCAAGCCTGAATCATCATATTGTAACTTTGTGGCAGATGTTTAAATGACAGTATCTATGCAGAATAAATATGAATGGCTAATATAAATACTATTATAAACTATAGCAAGCTATGACTATACATTGAGTATGCAATAGATTACCTAATTTAGACACAAAGTATTCCTGTGCTTGGAAAGTTCAAACACACAGTGATTATTTGGGGATGCACTGTAGTTGGTGAACAGAACTTCAGTGATTCATCCCAAAGAATTTTCCTACAGATGCAAGGGTAGGACTGTGGAACTTGATGCCATCAGAGTAATTTCTGTGCTGGCCATTTGCTGTCCCAAGCCGCTACAAGCCACAGCCACAGCACATCCCCTGGGCTTTGCAGATCCCACCTTTTTCTCTCCATTGAAACACCAGCACCAAAAAATGCAGAAACTTTAATAAGGATTAAATCCAACCCTGGACATTTTTCAGTGTAAATGATTTATTCAGAAATTATGGACTTCTTTTTGCTACAAGGATGCAAGAGTCAGCAAAGGAAAAAGAGTAACTTTTGCAAATCCTGTTCTATATTATTTAAAGAGAGGAAGTCCCTTACTTGTGACATTACAAATTTTTTGGGGGTTGACTGACCTTCAGGCAGATACTTTCCCCAGGGCACATAGGTTAAACTATAACCCCATGTTGTTAAATTATATTTTATAAGAAGATAGAGACCAAAAGAAAAGTGAAAAGAAATCAACAGTAAAAATGTCTATATAGGGCTTAAACCAGTGGTAATAGTTTTTGTTTGAATCAAGAAAGGGAGGTCTTTGCCAAAACATATGATATATTTTATATATATGTGGATATATTTCATAAATTATTACAGTTATAAAATTAAATATATCTTTCAGTTATCACATTTGTATCAGTTTCTTACTTGCTGTATAACTGATTTTGTACATTTATAGAAAATAGATTATTTATTGTATAAAACCACTACAAATACCATTTTTCCATATTCTTTTTTAAAAGACATTGTATAGTTTTGGGGTTTTTTAAAAAGAATCAGGCTTTGTTGTGAAGAATGCTTAATGTTCCTAATGTTCCTTTATGACCAAAACCTGTAAATTTCTCCCCTCTCCAGTCCCTATACCCAGATCACACAACAACTTCCTGCCTTCAAGAGGTTGATAATTCTCCTGACAGTCTGGGAATTGAGTAGGAAAACAGGATAACAATTTCTGTGGTAAAAATTAAGCATAAAAAGTGACATTTCAATTTTGTGTGCCTTTTGCTGTAAATGTAACCCTCATCTGTCCCCTAATCCTGGGACAACAAGGCAAAAGTTATTTGTCATGAGAGTTCTTTTTGTGGACAATATCCACTGAGTTCAGCTCCAGTCCCAAACACATCCCAGTGCTAAACAAGCTTCCAGAGCCTCAATGGGTACAGATCAGCTTTTACAGGAGCTGCTCAGCCTGTGTTTGGAATTTTCTTGTCTTCCCCCACGTGAATTCAATTTGAATGTTGCATTTAAAGATAGACTCACACCTTCCCCAGTCCCAAATGCTTTAATTTAATTTTAAACAATCACAAAAAAAAAAAGAAAAAAAGAAAAAAAATCAAACTGGGTTCTTTCTGTGACATGGAGACAGATGTAGCCCTTGAGTGGTGGGCTACAGGTGTTATTGTTCTGTTCTCTCCTTAGGAAAGAGAAATCCCATTTTTTTCTACACAAATTCCACATTCAAGTGGTTTGGTTTTGGGACTCTGGTGCCAATGTACGAGACAATGTAAAAATCAGTCCGCTGTGAATAGACCAAAAGAACAAAAATGAGAAATAATGTTGTAACAAGTTCAGAAGAGGGAAAAGTTAACTGTAAGTATTTCCAAATAAACCTATAAACCACAGAATTTACCTGAAAGCTGTGTGTGCTGGATTCTGGCTCTGAACTATCATTGTTCCATCTGGGAACAGCAAACAACCATGAGGCAGTTTTTACCCAATTTTTTGTTTATAGAAAATGTCACTAGTTACATTCCTCATTGACTCAGTTTACCCAATTTTTAATTTGTACTAGAAGGTGTTAAGCTAATTTGAAGTACAACTCTTTAAAAGTTATACATAGAAATAAACTCATGTACAACTAATATATGTTTTTAATTAAGAAACAACTCTTAAAATCTCATAAATCATAAAAGGATTATTTGCAAAAGTTAGAATTAAAGGCTCTTTCATCTTTCAACATGTAATGTTAGCATAGTTAAGTGTCCTCAGAATCACTCTTGTTCTGGGATATTAGTTTGAGGACATTTGTACTTTTACTTTTGTAACAACAAATTAGTTCCAGTTCTTACTCTATTCAATGTAAAGCCATATATGTACAAATCTGCTATAATTCTGTCTGAGTTCTATAGTATTCATTCTAACTCCCAGTACTAAAAGTTCCGTTTTGTGTTGTTAATAGCAATAAAAACAATAAATGATCAAAAGCAAAGAAAACAGTGTAGAAAGGAGCCTTGGAAGATTTTAAGTTTTTATCCTCAACAGAGAGGGAAGAGATGTGAGTGCAGCCCCCGTGCAAAGGGCTGTGAGGGAGAGGAGAGCCCCGTTTTGTTCCCTGTGCTCCCAGAAGGAATTACAAGGAGCTCAGGGTTCACAGCAAAGCCCTTCAAGTAAATTCATCAGCAGGAGAGGGGAAGTGCCATGGAACAACATCTCCATCACCACCTGCACCTCCCCTCCTTGGCTGTGCCTTGTGACAGCCACAGAGAGTCTGAGAGGGCACCAAAGCTGGAAGGGGCCGTGTCCTCCTCCATTGCTGGGTGACTGTTCCCACTCCCCGAGCAGAGCCCATCCCATTCCCTGTCCTTTACAATAAATGGCCCCTTCTTGTTGTGCCTGTTTTTGGAGACACCATTCTGTTGATTCTGATTCTCCCTACGTCCAAAATTCTTGTAATGCCTGGAAGCCAAGTTCATCTACAGATCCTTGTCCTTTATGTCATCCCTATGTTGATCCCCCACTGGCACCATCCAACACCGTTCACACACACTCAAATGCTGTTTTTAGGAGCTGGCTGTCAGAACAGCCAGACAAAAATAACTGCTGTGACAGATTGCTGAGGACAATCATGACAATTTGATTTAAGATGACAAAATTGTTTGTCTTGACAAAAATAAAATGCAGGCTGACTTAAGACTGAGTAAAGTAACTAAAAGTTATCATTAGAAAAGGAACAAATTCTATCCATATGAACATTAAATCTTTCAATCCACAGCTTGAAACCTATTGGAAGAGTAATCAAGGAAAATTGCAAACAGATGACTCTGGAAACAATGTTTGTTTTCACTGCTAGAGTTTTACAATGCATAATATATAACCTGATCTGGAGAGCTTTATGCTACGAAGAAATGTCAGGACTGAGAGATTTAAAATGCTAAGCAAGTTAAACAAAGCATATTGCACCCTCTGTTTACCTTGCAGTACTATCTTCCAAACTTTGCTTAAAAGTACATTTTAAAGAGTGGTTTGGCTTCCAAGGTTTTCAGTGGTGCTTTAGAGGACAGATGTGCCTTGATGTGCAATTCAAAGCTATCTCTGCAGAGGAGGGATCCAGGCAGATTGTTGGTAGCACAACTGAATTTCATGAGAGGTTTGGGATGAGGTTCAAGCCTGGGCTCCTGTTTTGTCATGGGAAACACCTCTCTGAAGCCTTGGGATCTTACCATTAGCCTAGAGTGGTCCCAGTGTCCACATCAAACACCCCTCCCCTTATCTAAGCCTTCTGGATTAGTTCCCTCCTTTTATTTCAATAGGATCTATTTTATAACAGACCAGGTGCTGGTCATTTCCTGAACAAACATCTTTCAGAAATTAGGTAGATGTGAAGGTCTAAAAACTCCTTGTGCACCTCTGTGTTACTTTAGGGATCTAAATATCTTTTCCATGTGCTATCATCGGTCATTGGTAAGTGGATACCTTGGCTCACACTTTCTGCAGATGTCTCCAGCAACATAAATGGAACTGACTGAAGTCTGAGCCCTTTAACAATAAAGATTAGAAGTCTTTGACATTCAGACTTCATTTTCCCCATAAATATTAAAAAAAAAAAAATTCCTATATGGACAAGATAATGTAGACACTAAAGGGTCAGCATGTTAAACAATGCAATAATTTTTGAGAAGGTGAGTTTCCTTTTTACCTGTTACAATGGATATTCCATTAGACTATAAGTCACATTTCTTAACTAATAATTTCTGCTAAAGCTGTTTCTCAGAGTGTGAACCAGCTATCCCTTAGGTTACCAAGTATTTATGTGTTTTATTAATGGTGCTTTTGCCACAACTTTCCAGGAAATCTTTGTTTTACTGCAACTAATTATAATAATTGTAATTTTTTTAAATAGATCATTTTGATTTAGCTGTCTTGTTTTTACAATTACTCCTCTCACCCCCACTGCAAAGAACTGACTGAATTTGGAAATGTTTTACTGTCTCACTGCTTTCCTTTGGTGTTCCAGGCCTGGCAATCTGTATTGCTCTAGAGGAGAGCTGCCTTCACTTACCACTGCAGGCCCTCAGTTATGCAAATACTGCCACGCAGATGTGAAGAGGGTGGGAGCCTTTTGTCATTAAAAATAAATGTGCAAATTATTGTAGCAATATAAAATATTTATTGAATGGCTAGTGCATGAGGTGAGCTACAAAACCACAGAAAAGCAGATGTAAAAATTAAAGCCTAGAGGCTCCACTAGAAGATTCCTGAAACTATGCATATATTTATTCAATTCTGATACCATTAAGATGCAGTTCCCAAAGAGATGGTTTTAAAACCTGTACTTTGTTTCCCTGTATCTATCAAAGAAGAGGAATCCATTAATTTCACAATGAAGCCAGTTTGCAGCTCCTTCTGGTGTCAATTTGGATAGTCATGGGTCAGTTAAAGGTCACATTTTCAGTGGTTTTAAGACACTACAACTGAGAACCAGATTGAACGTAAACATTTGAATTCTTAAGTGTAAAAATTTTCTTTATACAAATTTGCTCATAAATTAACACATTCAAAGCACCTGTACCAGGTCTCAAGGGTTGTCTTTGATTAACATTCTTCCTTTAAGCAAAATTCTGAAGAGATTAGATACTCTGTATTTGCAGGAGTACAGAAGAAAAATGAAAAGTGGAGGAGAGGAAATCCTGCACCATAGTTCAATAACCCCTGAATCATAGTTCTGATTCTGCTATCTTGTTATGGGATCTCAGGCAAATTACTCAGGCTCTTTTTGCAGACACTGACACAAGGGCAAGACCCAAGGCTGTGTTTGTGTTAAGATCCCTTCAGAGTCAGTCCTAAGCCATGCTTCTCTCCAAGTAATATTTTTACTTATAAATGCTTCTGGTCATCTTTGAGAGCATGGGAAGGATCAATGTCTTCTGGTGGAACTGTCACTGCACCTCTGATTACTTTCAAAGAATTGGTCAGCTACTGCCTACCAGAAACAAAAAGTCCATAAAATACTAGCATAAAGTACACAGAGGGGCATGCACACAGCAAACGGGGCGTTTGGCTCTGGTGGTGACTCAGAGCAGAGCTAAGGCAGAGCAAAGGTCTCGGTTATTGCTGCCTGTGCATTCAGGCACAGAGTGGCTGTCTTGGAACAATCCACTGTTGCTTTGGCTGGTTGGTTACAGTCCCCTGTGTGACTCAAAGCAGAAGTGTCAGAAACATTTTTAAAAGAACACTGACATGTTATTGCCAATCTAAACTGAGGAACTGTAGAATTGGTGAAAAACCTGAAGAATACTAAGTAAGGGACATGAAAAACTCACTGACATTGCACATTTCCCACAAGAACCCCAAAAATCAAACTAATGTCCTTGGTGTTCACTGTGCCCAGGTGCTCAGAAACATCTCAATATTGCTAATATTGCTGCTGCTACTGGGACCAGTAATGTTGCAATGCACATCCCAGTTGCTCTTGTGCATTCTCTGAGGT